TCTGCTCATATCTATCTACCTATCTATCTATCTATCTCAGCTTGTTCATATGTATCTATCTATTTATCTCAGTCTATTCATACCTACTTATCTATCTCAACCTGTTCATATCTATCTCAGTCTATTCATACCTATCTATCTCAACCTGTTCATATCTATCTCAGCCTATTGATAACTATGTTTTAAATTTGCATTGTTTATTGAAAATCACACTAAAACTACAGCACTGTATAACATATTGCATCATAATATAGCTAAATTGTTCAGTATAACTTCCCTTTGAAGTAAAGGAAGATCTTATTTGATGGCACAATGATTATGTAATAATGTCATTGTGCTGTGCATATAGTCCAGGTACAATTTCTAAGGCTTCAGTAAATTATAAATTTTCCTTGGCTGTGCTCTAAGGCTTTCACTGATCGCCGGAATGAAATTGCAACGCTACGATTTTGAACCTAGACTTAAACTTAAATTTTTAAACTAGTTTCCTCAAAAAACGGTAACGCAATTTTGTTATTATTTATCATGTCAAACCCCAACTTAAAAATTAATACCACGGTTCGAAAATCGACCTGTCCTACGTTACACATGTATTTGTTTTGAAGAAGTTAAAAATTACGCATTTTCGGTGACTGTTTGCACCATACATAGGTAATTTTTTTATTCTGTAGGTGCTAAAGTTCATGTAAAATAAAATTCAAATTTGACACTATACATTAAGTCGACTCTTATACAAGTATATACGGTAAATAAATAAGTCATCTTCTTTGTTCTTAATTCCTCTTCTTTTATTGTTCTCTCCTGAATAATGTTTTATTTTTCTCATATCCTTTCACACTCAGTAATGCTTTGCGTCTCAGTGGCTTTATTATCTTGCTTGCAGAGAAACGATTAAAATTTAAATGCAATGTCAATCGTTATCTTCTGTCTTCTTAATTCCTCTTTTATTGTTCTCTCTCCTTAATAATGTTTTTCTTTTTCTCTTATCCTTTCACACTCAGTAACCCCTTACGTCTTTATTGCCTTGCTCGAAGTGCAATAATTTAAAAAGAAATCTAGCATTAATAAAAATTTTTGACAAAGTGAGGGATCGGTTTTCTATTGTTATTGAGTAATAAACTGATCCCCCATTTTTCAAAAATACATATTTAAAGACTAACGTATGAGAACCTTCTTGGTATTATAACAAAGTACGGCGTTATTTTCGACGGTATAGGTGATCTGTAAAATAAAATGTTCAAGTTAACTTGCCCAGACAATTTATCAGACTCTTTACACAGATATATAAAAGAAAAGAAAAATACACCTTTCGAACATCGGATAATGTACCAACTGAAATATTGTGGAAAAAAAAGGGGCTTCTGGTCATGCATACTTCATCTTAGAAACATTAGAACAGAGGTTTCTTAATATTAGCTAGCACCGTGATTAAACGCGGGTTCTTCATCGTCTGCGTCTAAACACATTTCTTTCGTTAGCCCTTGTGCTTCAGCCATACCGGCCGGTACCTTCCATTCTAAATCTGGAACCATAGTGGTCACTGTTTCCTGCTCGAAGGGCATATCCATCGGACCAAGGGCGTCTAAATAAAACTCTTCCATCTCGATGGAATCGTTTTCATTTTTATCTTCGTCCGAAGGCGGCAAAACGAGTTCACCGCCGACGTCTCCTTCCTCTTTAACATTCACCTCAGTGCTACCAACACTAGTTTTCTCAGTGGCAGTCTTATTTACCTGATGCAGTTTCTCGTAATCCTGCACCAACTGTTGACACTGACTCACCATCGACTCGTGATACCGGAGTACACGGTTATTATAAAAATCTTCAAGATCGTGTACACTACCTACTCCACACTCTTGGAACACTTGTTCGAGCACATCGGGAAAACCTGAATGCCCCAGAAGCAGCTGACTGTCAACGGCTGACCGGAGATGTTTGGTGAGGCGTTGGTAATACTCGCAGGTGATGTCCGCCAGTAGTTCTAGGGCCGATTCTTTACACATATCGAACCCAACATGAGCACAAATAGTAGCAATGGATCGTCGGCTGAGTCTCCGACAATCAACACTGTCAATAGGACATGAAGCAAAGCCGATTCCTGAATCTAATTCTGTCTTGCAAATCGGCCTTTGGAATGACCAGGATTTGGTACGTTGCTGGTTAACTTTCCCAGTTTCTGGATATTGAGGAATTGGAATTGAAGCTGCTAAATGAGTGTCGTTCTTATCGTTCTTTGAATTATCTCGAAGTTGCTGTATAAGAGATTTCATTTTACGGGAATGTTGAACGAGTTGTATAGTGTGAAGGGTTATTGGGTCGGCATCAAATTGCTCGGGGCCGGATACTGTGCCTCGAGCCGGTCTCTGTCCGATGCCTTCGCCTTCTACTCCGGCCCGGGGATATGGACAGTACAGCATAGGATCTTCGATCTCCAAGGGACGGGGTTTTATTAACTGTTCGCGTTCCAACGCAACAATACCAGAGTCCGTGTCTGTGATAA